TACCATTTAGGATTTGGTGAATTATCCATTTAGTATATCTATTATGTTCTTTTCTGGCATATTATTTGTAAATATGAAGGGTAATGTGCATACGCTTAAAGGAAGTTAATTATTTTATATATTTTCCGTTTATTTTTAATTTTTATATTTTTTTATATTTTGTTTTATATTACTGTCTTTTGAGCCCATTTATATATATTTTTCTCTGATATACCCTACAGATCTTAGTTTGGATCTGAATATTGATTATAGGTATTATGATACAGTACATTTGGTGTCCTATATATATATTTTTCTTATGTTTTTAATTTTAAATTAAATATGTATTTTTATAGTTGTTACTGGGCTGGCAGCGGGCAATTTAATGAGTAGTTTGGGGTTTTTGATTATGGATTTTAGAATCCGGGACACTTGCTGATATGTTTCAGCATTGTTGACATACTTCTAATTTAGTCCCGGCTATTTATTTACCTGTAGCCCGCCTGTATATGGCGGTTGTTAATAACGGGCTACAGGAATATGGCTGCCGTGATCCCGCCCAATGGGTTTTCATTGGAGCTAGTCCTGACCTATTTAAGGAAGTGTGACAGACCAATCACGTTAGTCCTGATGAAGTCACGAGGTCACGTGACGCAACGCGTCGACGGTACAACGTGGTGACGCACTTCCGGCGTGGCGCCATCTTGGAACACCCTTTGAGTTCTATGCCTACACCCAGCATATGGGAGTAAACGCTGTGTGAAACTCTGCACATGTGAGTTTGCATTTTATTTGTTTTAAATGTTTTAATAAACGGTCTACACTATGGAGGATGTCTTCTTTTGTCTTATGGGAATTTGAGCTGGGATTCATCTTGCTCATTGGCCCGCAAGGATACTAGAGGAGAGGTGGAAGCTGTGTCCTGTGGAAACTTCTTTCCAGCCACATAATCGTGAGGAGACCTTCCTAGTTCTAGTGGTGGTATTTTTGAAAAAAGCGCTGTGGCCCTGCAGGGTCGCAGGTTGGAGGTGAGAGGCCATTTCAGCTGATATTGGATCACATTCAAGGGTGTGTGGGTTCACACACATTCCTTTGCTTTGCATGAACAAAAGGAATGTGACACGGATCACTGGACTTTCTTTTCCTCGTGGGTATTGTTTGCAGTGCTTTTTACATCTTGTATTATACCTTTATACATCCAGTTAGTATATTGAGGATTGGAAGTGTCACGCATCTAATTTTTGTCCTGTGTGGTTAAAGGAGTTGGGTTTGTTCCTGCACATATGGATTGTTTCACTATTTAAGGCCTATGCTAGTTATGATTACACAGTAATTCCACTTGGGGGTCATTATATCATTTTATTTATTGTTCATGTTCAAGCGCTACATCATTCATCTATGTGCATTGTGCTCCCCCCCACCCCCAGCCAGGACAACACAGTGATTACTGCTAGCGGGTATAATAGATGCTAGCAAAAATCTCACATAAAATCCAATAGGCTGGTTGTACCCAGGTTGATTGATCGATCAGCTTGGTTACATTTAGCCTGTTCATACATGGTTTGAATCTCGGCCGGTTCAGAAGGGATTCAAACCGTCTATTGCCAGCTTAAGCAGAACATTTGATTTAACTGTTACATTGAAGGCATGATGTAAATGATAATTGTCACAGCTGCTTGTTCTTTCAAATGAAATATCAAGCTATCAAATGGCTGGTGTCATATCTGATCACAAGTGCAGCACCAGGGCAATTTCAGATCAGAGACCAAGATGGTAGCTTCCTTGTCTGTAAAGGATAGGAGGGTTCAGCTTTGCTTTCATGCTGATCCTGTACTGTACGCGATGACATTGATGAGGGGGTGGCCTCACAGCCAAGAGAAAGGAGTTATTGTATGTGTTGGGTCATTCATCCCATTACTGGTGGGGAATGAGTCTGCAGCATAGAATCACAAAGTACGGCATTCTCTTTATTACATGCCCCTATACTAAATGAGCATTAGATTAGAATGTATAGGGAAGGGGATGTAACCTAATGGCATTTTTTTTATAGCTAATCCAGCTTCAGCCTTAAACTGTAGATGTAACTTTAGTAATTCCCCCTTCTTTTCTTACTTTGAGTTACCAACTTAGAACAAACAGGCAGATCAAGGAAGATGAAGAAAAGCCAGAAATGCAGATAATGACTGACACAAGAACAGTATATTACCTATAACCTTTGGTTAAATAGTACTACCTTCAGGTCAAATGGACATTAGGCCATATTACGACCATTGACCAGACCCTACGGCCTATGTAACCATGCAGACACCAGCCATGTTTCATTTTAGTATAGTGTCCCCAGACAGACGGATGTCTTTTTCAGCTCTGCTGTTGAAGACTTTGCAAGATTTTCTTCAATCAACATCTGCTGACAGATTTACCATTCAAGTCTTGGTTAGTCTCTCCAGTTAGCCCTTGAGTGCTGACGTGCCACCAGTTTGCATGGAGGATTCTCTTTGACAATCCTGCAGTGTTTGTTATGGCAGCCCTGAAAACACTTTGTACTGCACTCCCTTACATGTGTCTGAATGCTCGGACTGAGCACGATGCATTTTCCAGGGCCAGAGCTGGGGCATTTTCAGCAAAACTGATCCAGTCTCTAGAAAAGTCACTAAATGTGGGTAAGGCTATCATTGCAGACTGTGTTGGAGTTCTCTCCAAACATTTCTTTTTTCTTACATATAGCATATAAATTGCAACACAGGCTTTTGTTTTATTACTGAGCAATACGGCACATTGGAGGCGTTCTATCTTGTCTAATTATTTTGTCTGCTGTGAGTTACACATTATATTTTAAGCTCCCCCTGCATACTGTAGAAATTTATATATGTATTTGTTCCTTATGGCCACAGCTAAAGGTATACAGATAGTGCACCATTTTCATTTGAACACTGAAATTCACTCAGGAGGTTTTATTGAAGGTTGACTCTTCTATTAATGAATGCACTATCTGAAACAAACAGCTGTTTTGTGGATTTTTTTGCTTTTCAAACATAAGTGGAGTTAAAACCTTAAAGCTAAACTCCAGGAAATCTGAAAATTCTCTTTTGCAGTGGGATTGTGCCTGCACTGCATGGATTACCAGCTCATTGAGGTCTATGGGGCATGCAAGAGAAGGTTTACTTATTGGATCCACAACTCCTCCAATCTGCGAGACCAGTCTAAGGTCCTGATTTCATCTAGTTTTAGGGTAGCACCAATTGAGAAAAGGAAATGTGTGGGTGTTTGTGACTCCATAAAAATTGAGAACAAAGACATCTACAGAGGGAGAAAAAGCGTGAGGCAAATGGACAGGGAGGATTTGAAAGAGGTAGAGAAGACGAGGAAGGATGTTCATCTTCAAAATGGCTGCTCTCCCAAACCATGAGAAAGAGGGTATATGCCATTTCTGCAAGTCTGACTGAATTGTGCGGATAACTGGAAGAAATTTTTTTGTATAGAGTTTGGAGAGGTCTCCAGGAAGCTGGGTGTCCAGGTATGTGATAGCACCCATTTCCCAGGTGAAAGGAAAGTGGGATTGGCAAAAGGAGACCAATTCTGCTGACAAAGAGACATTTAAGGCATACAATTTGGATAAGTTAATCTTCAAATTTGAAAGTTTCTGGAAGTGCGCAAAATCGTTAAGGAGATTGGGCAGAGTAGTATGAGGTTTCGAAAGGAAAAGTAAAATATCGTCTTTATAGGCGGCAATCTTGTACTCCTGACCGGTACCAAGACACCCCCAATATCCAGATTAGTGCGGAGTCTACAAAGAAGAGGCTCAAGCGTCAGAACGAATAGGAGTGGAGAGAGTGGACACCCTTGACGCGTGCCATTTTGGAGGGAGAAGGCCTCCGACAGGTGGCTATTCACAAGTACCCAAGCTTTTGGAGTAGAATAAAGGGCCATGATGATGAAATTTAGCATGCGGTCTCGTATGCCAATATGTTTAAGGACAGCCTCCATGTAGTCCCAAGCCACACTGTCGAAAGCCTTCTCGGTGTCCAGAGAGAGGAAAAATCAGCTTTGTTTAGCAGTGCCTAGCCAGTGGTGGAGGTTGAGGGCTTTGATGGTGTTGTCCCTGGCTTCTCATCCAGGGACAAAACCCTCCTGATCTAGATTTATGAGAGAAGGTAGGACGGGAAGGATGCGGTTGGCCAAAACCTTGGCGTATAGTTTAACATCGACATTTAGTAATGATATGGGCCTGTAGTTGGTCACAGATGTTGCGTCTTTGTCACCTTTGGGGATCACCGTAATATATGCCTCAAGGAGGTTGTGGGGTGGGGAGCGTGGAGAATGAATTGAAGGCCGTCAAGAACGGTTCATTCAAGAGATCTGGGAATGTTTTGTAGTAGGCTAGCAAAAATCCATCAGGGCCTGGGCTTTTGCCAGGCTTCATTTGTTTAATTGCTTGAGCCAACTCTAAGATGGAGATGGGTCGTTCAAAGTCTCGGGCTGTGTCACCCGAAATCGGGGGTGGGCTGTGTAGCTGCAGGAAGGCAGAGATCAATCTTTTTTTATTTATAGCGCAAAAATAAGAAAAGCACAGGAGATCAAATATATAATAAAGAGGACCTTCTGCTCTCAGAACCTAATATAAATAAAAAAGGCTGCTAACACTTGCACCTTATTACCTGAAAGTGAAAGATACAAAAATTAAAAAAATAGGTGTAGCGCTCTCTAACCAAATTCCCCAATAGGGAATAATGATGTGACTAACAGTGAAAAAACAACCAATTTAAAGTGTTCCAATACTGGATAAATTAGCACGAGTGAATAAACTCAATACAATGTATTGATATATAGTGAAAACACACATGTGATCCCAGCACTGGGGGATAAATCCTGCAAAAAAAAGTGACAAAAAAGTGCTCTGTGTCCAAACACTCACATCATATAACAAGTATATAAAATTAATATATATAAACCCCTATAAAAATATGTTGATCCGGTAATGTACAAGTAACAGTATTGTGGATAGAAAACATATAAATCTTCTGCAAAATATATAAATGCAAATCCAATCTGACAATACGTGACCCCAGTGTCCACAAAAATATATAAAAAACATGCAGGTGATTCTTGTGTGTTGCAGCCTCTGGTGATGATTCCACACCAGGGGCGGACTGACAACTCATGGGGCCCCCGGGCAATAGGGGATCATGGGGCCCCTGTGTCCTTGCCCAAACTCAAAAAAGCCTATGAAAAAGGTACCAGGGGCATCTAATGGGGCCCCCTACTGACCCCGGGCCCTCGGGCAGTGCCCGCGTTTCCAAATGATCAGTCCGCCCCTGTTCCACACACAGCTAAATTGGCTCCTCACCTCCTTACCGGGACCCTAAAAGGGCCTACAAGCCTTTGGAATCACTCCTGGATCCTCCTGGACCCTGATGAAGTCACATGTGCCGGGACGCAACACGTAGGTGACCCTGATGAAGTCACATGTGCCGTGATGCAACACGTAGGTGACGTCACTTCCGGTGCAGACGCCATCTTTGGACTCTCAAAAGAACCCATGCAAGTACACCCTTCACATGAGGTTCTAAGGCTATTAACAAGATGTAATATAATGTGAGTTCATTGGTTTTTTTTATCCTTATTGCATAATAAACGGTATCATGCTATGGAGGTTCTTTCTCTTTATGGATGCTGTGGGAGCTGGTCATATTGATTAGAGCCATTTAAAGGGGAAAATCGAGCTGATATTGGTCTGGAAGGCATATGATGTTACTTCTGTTGTGAATTTGTTTGGAGGATACGATTTGATCTGGGAGGATCCAGGAGTGATCCCAAAGGCTTGTAGGCCCTTTTAGGGTCACGGTAAGGAGGTGAGGAGCCAATTTAGCTGTGTGTGTAATCATCACCAGAGGCTGCAACGCACAAGAATCACCTCATGTTTTTCATATATTTTTGTGGACACTGGGGTCACGTATTGTCAGATTGGATTTGCGTTTATATATTTTGCAGAAGATTTCTATCCACAATACTGTTAATTGTACATTACCGGATCAACCATATTTTTTTAGGGGTTTATATATTGATTTATATATTCGTTAACAGGGGCGGACTGACAACTCATGGGGCCCCCGGGCAATAGGGGATCATGGGCCCACTGTGTCCTCGCCCACACTCAAACCACACCCAAAAAAGCCTACAAAAGGTACCAGGGGCATCTCATGGGGCCCCCTACTGACCCCGGGCTCTCGGGCAGTGCCCAAGTTTCCGAATGGTCAGTCCGCCCCTGCTCGTTACATGATGTGAGTGTTTGGACACAGAGCACTTTTTTGTCACTTTTTTTGCAGGATTTATCCCCCAGTGCTGGGATCACATGTGTGTTTTCACTATATATCAATATATTGTATTGAGTTTATTCACTCGTGCTAATTTATCCAGTATTGGAACACTTTAAGTTGGTTGTTTTTTCACTATTAGTCACGTCATTATTCCCTATTGGGGATTACTGTTTGGTTAGAGAGCGCTACATGTATTTTTTGAACAGATCAAATACCACCGAAAGAAAGCTCTATTTGTGGGAAAAAAGGACGTAAACCTCATTTGGGTGCAGTGTTGCATGAACACGCAATTGTCAGCTAAATTAACAGATTGCAAAAAATGGCCTGGTCAGGAAGCCAGCAAATCCTGGAGGGCCAAGGAACGTTGAATTTAAAAAAAGAAAGTGAACTTTGGTTCCTCCACCCGACATCAGGGCAGCAGCTGGGCAGAACCATACAAATCTAACAAATGTTACTTTGTATCTTCCTGTATTCCAGGCACAGACACCCTGAGCACAAACACCGTCACCACCTCCAGGTACTCCGTGTCAGCAACTAAGAAGGCCACTGCCAGTGAAAGGGGTAACCCGGCCACCAGGAAGTATGCAGTCTTCCAGGTAAGTCCTGGTGCGGCCTGTTCTGTCCCCCCCATGTATATTGGAGGAACCCCCCTGTGTATATTGGTGGAACCCCCGTGTATATTGGAGGACACCCCCCGTGTATATTGGAGGAACCCCTGTGTATACTGGAGGAACCCCCCGTGTATATTGGAGGAACCCCCATGTATATTGGAGGAAACCCCCGTGTATATTGGAGGAAACCCCCGTGTACATTGGAGGACACCCCCCCTGTATATTGGAGGACACCCCCCGTGTATATTGGAGGAACCCCTGTGTATATCGGAGGAACCCCCCCCCATGTATATTGGAGGAACCCTGTGTATATTGGAGGAAACCCCCCCGTGTACATTGGAGAAACCCCCCTGTGTATATTGGAGGACACCCCCCCTGTATATTGGAGGAGACACCCCCATGTATATTGGAGGAACCCCCCCTGTGTATATTGGAGGAGACACCCCCGTGTATATTGGAGGAATCCCCCTGTGTATATTGGAGGAACCCCTGTGTATATTGGAGGAATCCCCCTGTGTATATTGGGAGGAACCCCGTGTATATTGGAGGAATCCCCCTGTGTATATTGGAGGAACCCCCATGTATATTGGAGGAACCCCCCTGTGTATAGTGGAGGAACCCCTGTGTATATTGGAGGAACCCCCTGTGTATATTGGAGGAACCCCGTGTATATTGGAGGAACCCCTCGTGTATATTGGAGGAATCCCCCTGTGTATATTGGAGGAACCCCTGTGTATATTGGAGGAATCCCCCTGTGTATATTGGAGGAACCCCTGTGTATATTGGAGGAATCCCCCTGTGTATATTGGAGGAACCCCCATGTATATTGGAGGAACCCCCCTGTGTATAGTGGAGGAACCCCTGTGTATATTGGAGGAACCCCTGTGTATATTGGAGGAACCCCCCTGTGTATATTGGAGGACACCCCTGTGTATATTGGAGGAGACACCCCCGTGTATATTGGAAGAACCCCCCGTTGTATATTGCAGGAACCCCCCTTGTATATTGGAGAAACCCCCCCGTATATTGGAGGACACCCCCCGTGTATATTGGAGGACACCCCCATGTATATTGGAGGAACCCCGTGTATATTAGAGGAACCCCTGTGTATATTGGAGGAACCCCGTGTATATTAGAGGAACCCCGTGTATATTAGAGGAACCCCGTGTATATTAGAGGACACCCCCCCCCCCGTGTATATTGAAGGACACCTCCCCCCCTGTATATTGGAGGACACCCCCCCCTGTGTAATGGAGGAACCCCGTGTATATTGGAGGACACCCCCATGTATATTGGAGGAACCCCCCCTGTATAATGGAGGGAACCCCCCTATATTGGAGGACACCCCCCTGTATATTGAAGGAACCCCCCCTGTATGTTGGAGGACACCCCCCGTGTATATTGGAGGACACCCCCGTGTATATTGGAGGACACCCCCCCTGTATAATGGAGGGAACCCCCCTGTATATTGGAGGACACCCCCCTGTATATTGGAGGAACCCCCCTGTATATTGGAGGACACCCCCGTGTATATTGGATATTGGAGGAACCCCCCTGTATATTGGAGGACACCCCCGTGTTTATTGGAGGTACCTCCCCCCTGTATATTGGAGGACACCCCCCTGTATATTGGAGGAACCCCCCTGTGTATATTGGAGGACACCCCCGTGTATATTGTATATTGGAGGAACCCCCCCCTGTATATTGGAGGAACCCCCCCCGTGTTTATTGGAGGTACCTCCCCCCTGTATATTGGAGGACACCCCCCTGTATATTGGAGGAACCCCCCTGTGTATATTGGAGGACACCCCCGTGTATATTGTATATTGGAGGAACCCCCCCTGTATATTGGAGGACACCCCCGTGTTTATTGGAGGTACCTCCCCCCTGTATATTGGAGGAACCCCCCCCCCCCCCCCCCCCCCCCCGGGTATACACACAGCCTAAACGCTGCAGCACATCGCCCACAGGATACCACACTGACGTCATGCCCAGCAAAGCGCGCTCCCGCGGAGCTCACCGTGCGTGCGCACAGCTGTTTCGCAGTAGTAGCTGAGGGGGGGTCGTGCTCGCGCATGACGTATTTGCATCCTGCTGTGCCTTTGCCTCCTCCCTGTGACTATTGGTCGGGAGCGCGCTTCCCTCCCTGCCTCCCCCCTCCTTCTCCTCCTCCCGCAGCCTGGTTCGCTCACTTCCGCTTCTCTGATGGCTCAGACGGCGGCCCCGGGGTCCGGTGTACGCGGTGAATGATTAGCAGCGGGCTGGCCGGTCCTTCGCCCGGGGATTGCGCACCGTGGAGCCGGTTGTAGGTAAGAGGCTGGGGGTTGTAAAGATGTAATGGGGGGCAGGATCTGGAGGTGCTCAGCACTAGTGGGTAGGAGGTGGATCTGGTGATCGGGTGTTTGCCATATGGTAGGTACCTGGTAGATGTGGCTGTTTGTGCCCAGAAGGTTTGGCAGTAGATGGTCCGAGCATAGGACATCTCATTGCCGCTGTCTGGACCTGGGGGATTGGCCAAGGTGGTGCTAGGGGGCTAGAAATGTGCTCCCCATATCTCTGGTAGGGGGCTAGAATGTGCTCCCCATATCTCTGGCAGGGGGCTAGAATGTGCTCCCCATATCTCTGGCAGGGGGCTAGAATGTGCTCCCCCCATATCTCTGGCAGGGGGCTAGAATGTGCTCCCCCATATCTCTGGCAGGGGGCTAGAATGTGCTCCCCCATATCTCTGGCAGGGGGCTAGAATGTGCTCCCCCATATCTCTGGCAGGGGGCTAGAATGTGCTCCCCCATATCTCTGGCAGGGGGCTAGAATGTGCTCCCCCATATCTCTGGCAGGGGGCTAGAATGCTCCCCCATATCTCTGGCAGGGGGCTAGAATGTGCTCCTCCCCCATATCTCTGGCAGGGGGCTAGAATGTGCTCCCCCATATCTCTGGCAGGGGGCTAGAATGTGCTCCCCCATATCTCTGGCAGGGGGCTAGAATGTGCTCCCCCATATCTCTGGCAGGGGGCTAGAATGTGCTCCCCCATATCTCTGGCAGGGGGCTAGAATGTGCTCCCCCATATCTCTGGCAGGGGGCTAGAATGTGCTCCCCCATATCTCTGGCAGGGGGCTAGAATGTGCTCCCCCATATCTCTGGCAGGGGGCTAGAATGTGCTCCCCCCATATCTCTGGCAGGGGTCTCAGACATGGTGCTTATAGCTCATGCGGGGGCTTGGATGTTGCTGTAGCCTTGTCAGGGTCTTGGACGTGGCCGTCATCTGGCAAGGGGTCTTGGATGTGGCCGTCATCTGGCAAGGGGGCCCCTGTGGTTCATCTGATTCAGTAGCTATGGCAATGGGGCTCAGACTCTCCCATAGCTGTGGAAAGGGGCAGGCACTAATCATATTCTGTCTTCAGATTGTTCAGTTGCAAATGAAAGCTAGAAACTGGTTGTCATACACAGCTGGTACCAAATGTGTGTGCTCCAGCCTTTAGTAAATTCCGCTCTTGGTATACATGGCTGTGGCAGGGGGCTCAGATGTTGTTGCTGTAGCTATGGTTGGGAGATCAGTCAATGGTGCCTGTAGCCCTGGCAGGGGGCTCAGGTGTTCCGGTGGCCCTGGCAGGGGGCTCAGGTGTTCCGGTGGCCCTGGCAGGGGGCTCAGGTGTTCCGGTGGCCCTGGCAGGGGGCTCAGGTGTTCCGGTGGCCCTGGCATGGTGCCAGTAGCTGTGGCCTGGGGTTCAGATGTTCTGATAGCTATGGCAGGGGCTCAGAGTTTCCCATAGTTGTGGCAGGGGGCAGCTGTTCATAGTAACTCATCGACTTCTATCTTCAGCTTGTTCAGTTGAGCTTTGAAAATGAAAGAGAAAAGTTTCCATGCACAACTACTCCCAATTCTAGTAAATCACCCTCACTGTACCCATAGCTGTGGCACAAGGCTCAGACATTGCCGTAGCTCTGGCAGGGGGCTTAGACAAGGTGGCCATAGCTGTGGCAGGGGGCTCAGACATGGTTCCTGTAGCTCTGGCACAAGTCTGACCCTGGTGATCATGTACTTTGGCACACAGAATCTGGTGTCTGGCAGATCTGGCACTGAGATGAGGTCTGTGTCTGGGGACAGGTCATAAGGGGAAGAATTCGGGAGATAAAGCAGAAGGTATCTGAGACCAAATGGTCAGGAACTGTGCAGGACCAAGACACTGCTGTCATATTTCTTTCTTTTGGTACATCTTCTGGTTGTAGATTTACAGGTTATAATAGTAATTGTCTCTAAAGTGGAATGATCAGATAGCTGAAAAAGAATGGGAATGAAATCGGTCAGACTGAACCTAGTAGGCTTTGGTGTCTTACTATAGTAGTCGGTCACG